GATGGTAAGATTATTAATTAGATTGAGCATGTGGAAAGGGAGCGGTCGATTAGAACAAGAGGCAAGCCAGGTTAAATGTGATGTGCAAAGCTTTGAGGATATTTCTAGCCTGACTACATAGTTGTTTACCAGAAAAAAAAAGCTCTGCCGAACTAGACTTGCTTCTTTGTGTGTCTGTCTGCATTTACAACTGCACCACTATAGTTATGAAAGGTCAGAGGAAGTTGGTAGGCAAGTGAAGCTTCTCCTGGGGAGCTGCCAATGGCTGCCATTTAGGGTATGAGAGAGAGATCGCCTCAGAGCAAATTAAAAAGTTTAAATAGGGCGATGAGTCACGGTGAAGGAAGAACAATATTACAGTAGTGCTCATTGGTCAAAAAATTTATTGTTGCTGCCTGGGAGAAATGGAACAAGCACATCAGGTGCATAGTGTATGGGTGCGCATATGCACGTACCAGAGCATCATGTATTTGATTTTAATATACTGAAATTTTTAGTGCCCTTAAATAAACACTGCTAGGCAGCTATAATTCTGGGAACCAAAAGCTCTCTAGGGTGGTGTGTTTCTCAAGTTTGTTAGAGGACACTGAGCGGGACAATTTTTCCTTTGGTTCCTCCTTCTCTTTGGCCCCTTCCTCCCCCCCCACTGTCTTTATTCCAAGAAGTTAGAGCATCTACCATGATTTTCTGAACAATCTTGAATAAATCACTTCTTACCAGGATCGTATTACACGCTAAGCCGTAAACCAGAGTCTCCAAACTTTAGTTTCCTATAACACACTTAATTAAATAAATCGCAGTAAACAATAAGTCGCAGTATACTTATGAATGAAATATGAAAATATAAGGTAAAGTCTTAAATGATTTCAATTTGTAGTATCCTTAAATGGTTGCTAGGGACTCTTTCTGTTGGCAACAGCCAGGCCTACTTGTTGTTTCAGAAAGAATGACAGATTGCACGACTGTTATTTTGCTTCATAGGTACCTCATTTCACTAAACTCCTTTTGAATGGTTTCCATGGCCAGTAAAATTGATGCCAACTTACAGAACTGAGATCCCACTCAAATTTCATAGTTGAGCAACAGGTAGATACCCCTCCTTTCAGGGGAAAAAAAAAAAATCTGTTCAAACTTGACAGTTGCCATGTCTGCAATGTACTCCACCTCTGTGAGTATCGAGCACACACTGCCCTTCATTCAGACTAGATGTCAGCTTTCCATGTTGAATCAGTAGTTATGCCAAAAGACTGGAGTGTACCTCAGAACTGTATGTGTGTGGTGTTTTAAGAATTGGCTCCGAGCCACAAGTTAATGGGCAAGCTGTAAAGAGGATGTGTAGCAAAATAAGTCCTTCTGTCAACACCTGCCTTTCCACGTGAATTCCCCCTCCAAAGGTCTATACCAGGCATGTCACACTTGTGATGTCACGTGACGTCGCACGATGTATCAGAGCTTTTTCGCCATTGCTGGCAATGGGGTGGGCATGGCTGCGGTATAATGAAACCGGCCCATGGGCTGGCAGTTTGACACCCCTGGTCTATACCTTCTGTAACAAGTGGTTGTGTAGCCACTGCCCATTCATTCTTATAAGGCTGCTTGTGAAGCTGCACGCTGATGTTACCCTAATTGTGACAGTGAAAACTGTAAAAAGGGCCCCCCTTTGTACTTCCAAGGAAGATGAAGAGGTGTTGCAAACATAAGCTTTCCTCTCTTTCTATCTGACTTACAACAGCAAGGTTATAAATCCTTCCTACCCCACTGATTTCAATTCTTGACAGAACTTGCAGTGATAAATGACAGAAGAGTCTAATGTACCAAATGATTTTCTCCCCTTCTCTAAATGATCAGGGCCCAACTTGCATTTCTTAGTTGTACACTGTTGATTCATGTCTAGGTTTTTTTTCAGCATTTATAGGAAAAAAAATCCAGCATAATGATTTTGCAAAGTTGAGAGTGATTAGTCTAAAAAAAATTATACTGTGACTCTAACATGCTCATGCATTATAGCTAAACTTGTTTAATCCTGGTTGCACAATTGACTACCTTATTAAGTAACTTCACACTGTTGCATCAAATACATTTTTCAAACTGAAATGGCTACTTAATATAATACATTAAAATACTTGTAGGGGTTGATTCCCCCCCCCAATATTCACAAGATTCCTATGTGATATAAGAAGCAGGACTCTATCTTGGGAAAAGGGAGAGAGTGCCATAAACGTGCATGTGGGCAACTACCAAGGACAGCCAAAATTTTGGGACATTTGATAATATTGCTTATTTTGCATTACTCAATAGTATGATCATTAACCTGATCTTTGTGAACAAATAGACTCATCCACATTGCAGAAACTGGAAAGTGAACAATGGTCAAATGATATTTCCCTATGGCACAGCAATATTGCTCTTCTAAGACAAACCATTCTATCTAGAGATTTTCTCCTTTCAGATTATTGGGCTATATACTGTATGTGTGAAACTTCTTGAAAAGTACTGACACATATACAAAACCATTCGATTCAATAGAAACTACTTAAAATTAGCCCAGCACGAAAAACTTCCAACAGCCAGTCTGTGCAAAATCTGGACCACATCACAAAATATCAGAGACAGCCGTTAACAAGGAGTAAAATGGAACTGGCAGTCCAAACGTAAGTTCCCAATGTAGGTCGAAATCAGGGAGACTGTTTAGCAATAAGCAAAGTTCAGGTAGCAATGTTCCTAAGAAGCTATTAGCCCAAGAATTCCAGGTACAAGGTAATTAAGCACAGCACTGGGACATAAAGGCAAACATTGCTGTAATCACCATTAAGTTTTAACTAAAAGAAAGCTAGTAGAAAGTGCAGATTAAAGCACATAAAAGGTGGTATGGCTTTCATTGCACAGGTATGGACACTTTGACTGTTTTGACCCTCCGAGAGATGCCGCAGGGTTAAGATACTGGATTGGGGCCACAGAACCCCAAATTCAAGTCCCACTTGATCTCAAAGCCCAGCTGATGACTTGAGGTCAACCACTTCTCTCTCACATGTCAACCTATCATTTATTTATGCTTTTATTCATTTATTTATATCCCACCTTTATGATTTTCACAAATAACTCAAAGCGATGAACATATCCAACACACTTTTCTCCTCCTGTTGAAGGAGAGGAACTGGCCCAAATTGGCTTGAATTCATGGTCTCCCAGTTTCTAGCCTGGTGCCTTAACCATTTAGCCTGGCTGAGGAATTCTGGGAATTGAAGTCCACAAGTCATAAAAGGGCCAAGTTTGAAGTCCCCTGATTTAAACCAAACTAGCTGAGGATAAAAACGATTGAAGATTTTTAATTAGACCAGGGTTTTTCAAGCTTTTTCGGACTGCAGAACCTGAAAAATATACCCAGAATTCCTGATCAAGAAGCACAGCTCCAAGAATAGAAATTTGACTGCTGCATTGGAGTACTTTTTTTTTCTTTTAATATCTCAGGGAATCCCACTGAGTTTCCACAGAGTTCTAAGGTTCTGCAGAACAAAAGTTTGATAAAAACTCTGATTTAGACCACCTGCAGCTCACGGAGAAAAAGCAGGGCAGAAATGCAGCAAATAAAAATCCTTTTCATTTACTTATTTTACGCACCATATATATATATAAATATATAATATTCTTGAATCCCACTTTATTAATCTAGAGGAATTACTTTCTCCTGGATTTAACAGCTGCACTCTCTCTTCTTCATTGTGGACTAAGGTAATTCAGTTCCCCCATAAAAACCTGAAGGGGAATCTCTGGCATTACTGGTCCTAGGTCCTCCATAGCATCCCTGGAGCAAGTCAGGCCAGGCCAGGGTTAGGCAACCTTGGCTCTTTTATGACTCGTGGACTTCAACTCCCAGAATTCCTGAACCAGCATGGCTGGCTCAGGAATTCTGGGAGTTGAAGTCCACAAGACATAAAAGAGCCAAGGTTGCCTACCTCTGGGCCAGGCCTTCCCCAGGGAATAACTATTTTATTGGCCAGGCTTCAAGTCGGATGCTGCTTCTGTCTCTCCAGGTTCACAGATTGGAGGATGGAAGAGGGAAACAGGAAGCGACAGCAGGCAGGGGTTTTAGTCAGGGGCCTTCATACTTGGCCCTTTTATGACTTGTGGACTTCAACTCCCAGAATTCCTCAGTCAGTGTGCCTGGCTGAGGAAATTCTGGGAGCTGAAGTCTACAAGTCATAAAAGGGCCACGTTTGAAGACCCCTGCTTGTGGAGACTTCAACTCCCAGAATTCCTCAGCCAGGCACGCTGGCTGAGGAATTCTGGGAGTTGAAGTCCACAGGTCATAAAACGGCCAGTTTGAAGACCCCTGGTTTAAGTGTCAGACCGGCCGTGGGATATCAAGTCCAACCTTGGAAGGGAAAGCTCACGAGCAGTGCTTCGGGCCAGACCCTCTTTTTCCACCCGGCCTACCTCGCAGGGCGGTGGTTGCCTTGAGTGAACAGCAGGAACCCCCTTGGGCGCCCATCAGCGTCTTGACTTCCTGGCGAAACGGCGGGAGGAAAATCTAGCAAGCAAAAGAATCGGGGGAAGAGCACCTGCCTCCCCTCAGGAAACCTGCGCCCTCGCAAACACGGCTCGCCGAGGAAATTGGAGGCCAATGACCGGCCGGAGAGGAATTCGACTCGTTGGAGGGGCGAGCAATAGCCCTCGACGGGACGGGCTGCCGCCCCAGCCGCAAGACAACCGGAGGCGCGCTTCTCCTCGCCTCCCCCAGACGGGCCGACTTAGGCCTCGCTCCGCCACTCGGGCCTAACTTTGACAGAGCCCGCCGTTGCCTTGGCAACGGAGCGCTTCTCCGGGCCGCCGGCGCGAGCGGAGCCGCGATTGGCCCGCCGCCGCGCACGTGACCGCGGTCGCGTGAGCCCGCTTGACAAGAGCCCCGACTCGCGTAGCCGCGGGGCCGCCTTCGCCGCGCGCGTGGGAGTGGGGCGCGGGGTGGGTCGGGATGGCGGCCAGGCCGGGCGGGGGGACTGCGTCCCGCGAAGGGCCCGGCGGCGCCGCGTGAGGGGGGGGGCCCGGAGACCCTGCGCCGACCGCCGCGGGCTCGGGAGGCGTGCGCCCGCCGGGCTGCCGGCCGGAGCGCGTGGGGAGGAGAGTCAGTCAGGCGCCGCGAAGTGGGGAGGGGTGAGGAGAGGAGAGGAGAGGAGGAGGTCCCGGCGGAGCCATGGCGAACCCCCTGCGGCCGCCTCAGGAGCTCCCTCAGCCGGGCGGGCGGCGAGCGGCGTCGCGGTGCGGCTGAAGCCCCTCAGCGCGGTTCCTGCCGGGGACAGAGGCCGCCTCAGCCTCCTTTCGGCCCCCGAGGGAGGAGAGTCGCCGCCGTCGTCGCCGCCGCGCAGGAGAAGCAGGAGGCGGGCGGCGCAGCGCGATGAGGCTGTGACGCCTCCCGGGAGGCCATAAGGAGCCGCGGCGGCGGCGGGCGAGGGAAAGGGCGACTCCAAGCGGAGAGGCCGGGGGCCACCATCGGAGGTCGGCGCCCGTGGCTGGATAGAAACGAGGCCCTGAGCCTCCCCGGGGGACCCTTTCCCACCCCTCCCCGCCCGGCCGGTCGGCCGGTGTCTGCCGCGCGGAGCCCCTCCCGCCCGGCGCCCCGTTCAGACGTGCCTGGGTTTGCGCCAGCGCCCGCTCGGGGTCGCGTCGCGTCACGTCTGGACGGTGTGTGTGTGGGGGGGGGGATGTTTTCCTCCTGCTGCTGCTACAGCCAGGATTAAGTGGCGGCGGCGACGCGGCCGGGGCGGCGTGGCGTTTCTCGGGGAGCTGCTGCGCCCTCCCTCTTCTTGCCTTTGATGACGAGCCGCCGCTCTTGCTTGCTGGACGGCCCCGTTCAAAAAAGGATGGTTTAGGCTAGACGCGAGTCAGGGACTCGGAGGAGGAGGAGGAGGAAGAGGGGGAGGTCGGCGCCTGGGAGGCCTCCTCCCGGCGGGCGGTAGAACAGGTAAAACGCCATGGACGGCAGGCTGGGGTGACACTGCCCGAAGGCTCTGGGCTTGGGAGCCTTTCCTTGGGAGGGGGGTGAGTGTGAGTGTGTGTGTGTGTGTGTGTGCAAAGGAGACGGGGTTAGCTTTTGTTGTCTTAAGCTTTTGCCCCGGCAGGTTATAAATAGATCGGTTCAGACGCCGTGTCAAAGGAGGACACCTTGGCAAAGAAGGCAAGCAAGTTCCCGAGAGAGAGAGAGACAGACAGACAGACAGACACACACACACAGACACACAAACTGCCTTTAGCTTCTTCCTCTCCATCCAACTGCTGTTGTCACCACACAATGAATGCCAGGAGGAGGCCCGGGCGCTACCGATTTTTGTAAGCCGCCAAGGAAAAAGGCTGGATTTGTCCCCCCCTTCCCCGTTTTTGGGGAACTCCGACCTCCCCAGGGAAAAAGGAAGAAAACGGGAGGAATCTGCTGGTGGGAAACCACATCAGGGCGAGGGAAGAAAAACAGCTGGTGAAGCAGAAGGACTCTTTTTTTTTTTTTTTTGCTGGGACTTGAGAAGGGGAAGAAAAGATTGGCGTGAAAATGAAGCCGAATCGAGGTAAATTTCTTTAAAAAAAAAAACATCCCTTTCTGGTGTTTTATTGTTGGGCAAGTGGCTTTGTGATGTTACAGCAGTGTTGTTGGGAAATGGTTGGGTTGAGGTCCTAAATCTAAAAAGAAACAGAGGGGAGGGATTTGGAAAGGATCAGGAAGGATTAAAACTTGGAACTGATAGTTAGGATATTGTTCTGACATGTTTTAAGACTGTTGAATGGATCGAAGTTTACTTCAAGAGAGGGGATGTAGCTCATTATTGAAAACACCTTTTGCCTTCTGAGAGAGTAGTTTTAAATGTTAAGTGTTTTTCTTAAGTTACTACCATATAATAAAAATATTTATTATAATCAGGAATTAAGGAGCCAAACCATCTCCTTGTAAGGCACAAATGATGTAGCCTGAAACTAATGCAAAACAGCTAAAGCCTATTTAAATTTCTGTAAACAATTCTGATAGGGTCTTTTTCAGTTTCATCCCTAATTGTGTTTAGAGATAAGCTCAGTAGGACAAACAAACACCAGTTCAGAATTCATACAGCCTTTCTAAGAAATTCCTTATCATTAACTAAATCATGACTGCTAATGTAAAAAAAAAAGCTATTCAGAATTTACTGCTGAAAACTATTAAGTAGACTGAAAAATATTTTCAGGTAACAACATATAGTACTTAATTCTTAGAACTCTGGCATCCAGTTGAATTGAGGATTACATTGTCAATTTAATAATACCCCATATTGGAGCAAAGGGCTGTCTGAACATTTGCTTTAATGTACATTTGTTATTTAGAACCTTAGGCTAACTATGGCAGGATTTACATAATGTGAATGTCCTTGTTTATATGGTTTTAGCTCTTACTAAATTGTGATTCATGATTTAGCATGTTGTGTCTAGTTAGCTAATTATGGTTTGTTCAACAACAAGCTGGTTAAACAAACCTTGGCTTGGACAGTGTTTGAATTCAGTTGCTGAACAGTTTCAGTTAGAATACCACAGATGCTGAGGAAACTTAAGATGCAGAATTGCTTTTTTTAAAATGTAAGTATTTCTGCAGTTGCTTAAGGAGACAGGATACAAGTTAAAACATTTTAGTGTTTTATGGCTGCTTGGAAATTAAAAGAAGTGACATTGATGAGCACAAGTTATTTGAACATGACATTTTTAAATATATGCTAAATCTGGGTTAATCTGATTTATACCAATATTTAGAACTATTTAATCTGGGGTACAGACACTTTGTCAGCTACTAGATGGTAGCAAAGGGTAAACATCTGTTTCTTTGCTGCCAACTGGTGGTCTTATGGATTTTTTCAGCCTGGTTCTGTAACTTGCTAAGTGTCCCTTAGTATTGTGGGCTAAGGTCCCTGTAGGAACAAAATAAAGCATAAAATATACTGATATATACCGGTAGCTGAAGAATTGGCATCTAACTCCTTTCATAGTACAGAAGCTTGATGCATATTTATAAAGTTTAATAATGCACTGCTGTGAGGCAAATGACCTTTTTTAATTAAATATCTCTAAGCAGTCTGTGTAAACCAGTAAGTTAAAAATTCTGATGGTAAATCAATATTTAGCATATTGTTTAAAGAGCTTAATAAATGTAAGATGTATTTTACTTTACTTTTTTTCAAAGCAGATTCAGCCATAGTAAGAACTGTGTTTATCTAATTTAAGCAATGTGGCTGTTACACATCAACCACAGGGGGTTAAAAGTGTGGCCTAAGTGCCACATTTAATATACAGATGCTCTTATGAGGCACAATCATGCAAATGGTTGCTCTGTTCTCTGCAAAGCAGCTGCACTACGGGCAATCACTCAAGTGTGCTATCAAGAGCTTTCACTAGTTGAAAATTAATAGTGAAGGATGCAGGATGAGCAGGGTTTTAAATTGCAGTACAATCTGTTTAATATCAGACTAACAGGAATAAGTACTGTATCAATCTGTAAATGAGATTTCTGTTTGTCTGTGTTAATATATGGGACCTTAGTGATTAATAGCTGCATTGGATTAGACCCAGATTTAATACTAATTAGAGTAGGCCTACTGATGTAATGGAACTTAAATAATTGAGGACACTCAAGTCAGCAAACCAGTTGATGATGGGTGATAAGTTAGATACAAAAGTTAAACTGGTGCAGAGTCCTTGTGTTGGAGGTGTGCTAAGGCAAATCCTGCCAAGGCTGAATATTTCTACATTTCCCTTTGACTTCAGTAAGTGGAAATATCACCAGATGTTTAAAGGTTGAGTAAAGATAAATATCACTGCACTTCGACTCTCTGAAAATGAGATCCAGCATTTTCCCATTGTATTGACCATGAGGCTGTAGTATTTAAAAGACGGAAAATGTAAATATACACACGTGGGAACTGTAATTCTGAGAATATTTCTTTTCAGGGACTGCACTAAAAATGAATTATTACAGAAATGAATAGGTTTTGCAGCTTCTAAATATGTAGTACTTTCAATCAATTTTAAAGAAAATATTTTTAGAATTGGACATAACAAGAGATTATTGCATGGTTGATATTATGAAATGCCTACTTAAAGATAAGACCACTTTCATAAATAACTGAAAGGTGCCAGGCTTGTACTTAGTCCAAAGTGCTTGGGTCGCAACCCCATTTGGGGTCGATTGACCATTTCACGGGGGTCGCCAAGCAAGGCTGTCCGCCATTTTTTCCCCCTTTTTCGGCGGGTGCCTTACCTCCCTTGGGCCGGGCCAGCTGGTGGCCCAGCCGGTGGTCGGCCTACTCCGTCTCTGCTGCTTGCCAGCTACGCCTCGGCCGGCGCAGGGGGTGGCACCACGCATGCGCGGTGCTCCCAGGCAGGGAAAGTCCTCAACTTACGACCGGTTGGGTAGTCCTCGACTTACGACCGGTTTAGTCCTCGACTTACGACCGGTTTAGTCCTCGACTTACGACCGGTTGGGGGTCGCGGCATTAAAAAGGTTGAGAACCACTGTTCTAGAATTTTCCTCCTGAAATGCACTGATTTATTTCATCCCATTCTTAACAATGAATCATTTTAAAAATATCCACTTAACAGTGTTTTGCTGTTAGAATAATACGGCTATCCCATTAATGCCCAGTGCAGCATAAGTTCCATATTGAAAAAATACAGATGACAAAATATTGAGATACAGAATGTGCTGAGATCCTTGCCACTTCTTACTTTCTTAGCAAGGTTATGTTTGTTCTTGACTTACAATAAATAAATCAGAAATCCTGTCTTTGCACACTCCCCTAAATAAACTATGGATAGACCCACCTTGTTTGTTTTTCTGCCTGTGTTCCCAAAGAAAAATAGGGGCAATCCTGTTTATTTAGTAGTAAGCTAGAATTTGTTTCAGTTCTAGTTTACAGGGATATGTGTTTGAAGAGGAGTGTTATCTGCCAGTGCAGGCCCGTAAGGTTTAATTTTCACAGAAAGGGATGCTGGATTTGATTCTGGGAGATGAATAATAAACACAGGTATATGAGTTGTAGATGATGGACTTCCTGTTGAGCAGGCAACATTCCTGCAAAGACCTGTGCTTCTAGTTAGAGATGCCGCAGGTAAATGCAAGGAGGAGACAGCACACTGGAAGTGATGCTGTTTCCTGTTGTATTAGGGAGGCTGTTTTGGCTGTTTTTCTGGCTGTGGAATTGTACTGAGAAATATAGAGGAAAAATCCGTGATGTATGTTTACTTCTATATGAAATGGGATGGATTACACAAGAGAGATTTTAAACTATTAAGGCCCTATAGTAATAGTAATACGCTTTCCAGCCAGTAATACAACTTTGTAGTTGCTTAACAATTGTGCCTTCACATAGGAGCATCTGCCATTGTTATCTGTGAATCTTTGACCTTGACATGGTGTTACATTTTGTTCCCCTGGATTAACTGAGGACTAATCACATCGCCTGCTGTAAATTAACTTTTTTTCTCATTGGGAACTGAGCCATTTTCCTAATCAAAATATATTAATAGAATATACGGTATATTGAATTTGTGTTGTATGTGAAAAGGAACAATTACAATTAAAAATCGTTGATGAAATTGAGCACTAGTGCTGAGTTTTGAGAATGATGCCTGTCCTGATATGTTTTTCCTACTTATTTGCATTTCCTGCTCAGTTTTGCCCTTTTTATAGAGTCACTGTGACCCTGTACTAAGGTAAAAAAATTGTTTTGCACTATGATGCGCTGTCTTGTGCTTATTACACACTATTACCAAATATTGTAAGTCACTCCCTGCATGTTGTGTTGGCAACCTGGATGTTTGTCTTCTGATTCATTTTTTACATTATTTATTTTAACCATTGTTTTGGATAAGAAAGCATTTCAAAGCAGTTGTCTTCATTCTGACACTTGGTTCTAATATAAATGCCTATTAACTTCAAATAAATGTTCTTGAATTGGCAGCATAGATGTAAATTCTATAGAGTGTCATAGCACCTCATATTTTTAAGATCTGAAATGATAGCTTTTAGTCTATCATTTTACATGAAAACGAGTTTTGTAAATTACAATGTTTATTTTTTAAAACAGTTAGATAATCTAAACTTAGTGTCATGTTATGAGCACTGGAAGCCAGTTCTAGTATGGAAGAGAAGAAGAAAGACAAGATTTACTGTAAAGTTTGAAGTCGGGCACGCTGAAGAATAAGATGACAACAAGCACTATATTTAAGCTTTGTATGATATTTTACAGCTTTCCTGAATCCAGAACCTTCTAATAAGATGTGTTGGGTACAACATTTGGGGTTCACTGCTAGTGTAGTCAGCTGTAGATGAATGTACAGGTAGTGCTGGACTTAACAACCACAATTGAACACAAAAAAATATGTTGCCGAGAATTGTTAAGTGAGTTTTGCCCCATTTTACGACCTTTCTTGCCACAGTTGTTAAGCGAATCATGCCACTTGTTAAGTTAGTAACACGGTTGTTAAGTGAATCTGGCTTCCTCATTGACTTTGCTTGTCAGAAGGTCACAAAAGGTGATCACATGACCCCGGGAACACTGCAACTGTCATAAATATGAGTCAGTTGCCAAGAGTGAATTTTGATCACATGACCAGGATGCTGCTGCAACAGTCGTAAGTGTGAAAAATGGTTCTTAAGTCACTTTCTTTCAGTGCTGTTATAACTTTGACTGGCCCGTAAATGAACTGGAAGTCGAGGACTACCTGTATCTAGAAAACATGAGGTTGAGCAAGTTGATCTAAAGTAGTGTTTCTCAATGTTGACCATTTTAAGATGTGTGGACTTCAACTCCCAGAATTCCCCAGCTGACATGGCTGGCTGGGGAATTCTGGGAGTTGAAATCCACACATCTTAAAATGGCCGAGGTTGAGAAACACTGATCTAAAGCAATGCTGCTGAAGAAGCCTGCTTTGAATGGCCACTATTTCTTTCTCTGGAGCAGGGTCTTCAAACTTGGCAACTTTAAGACTTGTGTACTTCAACTCCCAGAATTTCTCAGCCAGCCCTGCTCTGGAGGTTTCTCTCACAATCACTTCTACTGCATTTTGAGAGTATCCTAATAAGAGTTGAAGAAGGAAACACTGATGCCCAGTGCTGTTAGGATATGCTATTGTGTAATGAAAGAGAAGTAAATTGAGGCAGGAGAATGTCGTGATATTCAGGACATACTTGGATATACTTTAGCACAGTGGATCTCAACCTTTTTAATGCCGTGACCCCCAACCGGTCGTATGTCGAGGACCACCCAACCAGTCGTAACTCGAGGACTTTCCCTGCCCGCGAGCGCCGCACATGCGTGGTGCCGCCCCCTGCACCGGCCGAGGCGTAGCTGGCAAGCGGCAGAGACGGCGTAGGCCAACCACCGGCTGGGCCACCAGCTGGCCCAGCCCAAGGGAGGTAAGGCACCCGCCAGGCCCCACGCGCACCAGCAACCCTCCCTGCGCCCACCGGCCTCCCACCCCTGGCCCCCTTTTACTTACATTTTTAGTAGTTGCTCAGCAGGGAGGAGTGGAAACTTCCAGACAGCTCGCCTTCGCTGCAGACAACTTGCAGCACCATTTGCAGAATGGGACTTTTGGCGGGCTCAGCAGGGCAGAGACAGCCTGGACAATTCCTATTGGCTTTTGAAAGTCAATAGAATTAGACTCTATTCAAGAGAGTCTATTCTATTGGCTTTCAAAAGCCAATAGAATAAAAGGGAGGAGCACAGCTAAGGAAAAGGGGAGAAAAATGGCGGACTGCGTTGTTTGGCGACCCCCGTGAAATGGTCGTTCGATCCCAAATGGGGTCCCGACCCATAGGTTGAGAACCGCTGCTTTAGTACTTAAGGGTTACAGCAAGGAAAGTGAAGCCAGAGTAATTTTGAGTTATTGAAAAGAATAGCCTGGTACAGAAATGCGGTAAATAAACTGTCTATCAATATTCAACCCAAGATTGAGAAGAGCTACAAATATGTACAGTATATTGGAGTATGGTATTGTGCAGATTCATAGCTTGCTTTCTCCTGAAGATTTAAACATCACAATTTTCCATGTTTCCCAGCTCTATAATCAACTTTTTTTTGAGGGGATTTGCCAATAGAAAAGTGATCCAGTATTTGGGGTTTTATGTTGTTGTTATGTTTCAAACCTTTGCATTTGTCTGGCTGCTTCATTGGTTAAGTGATCTTTTGTTTTCTAAAACACACCGAATGTTAAATGAAGTTTATGCCTTAATATACTGTATGAACCTATCTAATGGCTGATTTTGTGATTATTTTTTTTACGTAATTATTGTGAATGAAATTATTAAGTAACTCCATGGTTTTGTCATAATGCAGTCCTTTGATCAAGGAACACTGAAACCAAGTGGGACTCGAATCGAGTGATGTTGGGACCCATTTCAGGCTGTTAGTCTGAAATTGCCTGTTTTAAAAATCTTAGAAAAATGCAAATGTTAAATTATCCAGCTTTCCCAATTGTGTCTTTTGTACATACAGTGCCTAGTATTAACAAACAGTTTAGTATTCTCTACAAGGAAACTTGCAGATGTGCCATCTCTATTTCCAGCATTTTGGGTTTGAAGGCGTGTTCCTTGTACCACAATTATTTGCCAGTGATGATTCTTAATGGAGCAGAACTGAATATTGAACATTAGTACAAAATCATATTTAGGAAATGTGGAACAGAATAATTGCTATCTACTTCAGTATAATGCTCAGACTGTTCCAGTATAAGACAGACAAATTACGGATGCATGCATACTGTGAAAGATTTGTAGCTGCTCAGGTATGCTTTTTGAAATACTTGGAATGAAAGAAATCTTAAGTTGTTACTTTCCTTTGGTAACTGTTTTTTTTCTCATTCATCTGCTTGCAATATCACTGTAGCATCCTAACAAAAGTTGCTACTGTAGCAATTAATGCAATTAATAGCAAGTATTTAGAGCAGTGGTTCTCAAGCTGTGGGTCGGGACCCCATTCGGGGTCGAATGACCATTTCATGGGGGTCGCCAAACAACGCAGTCCGCCATTTTTTCCCCCTTTTCCTTAGCTGTGCTCCTCCCTTTTATTCTGTTGGCTCTTGAATAGAGTCTAATTCTATTGGCTTTCCAAAGCCAATAGGAATTGTCCAGGCTGTCTCTGCCCTGCTGAGCCCGCCAAAAGTCCCATTCTGCAAACGGGGCTGCACCAGTTGAATAGTCCTCGACTTATGACCGGTTGAGTAGTCCTCGACGTACGACCGGTTGGGGGTCGCGGCATTAAAAAGGTTGAGAACCACTGCTTTAGAAGCATTTAGTATTTTAAAAGAATACTAAATGATCTCGGGGGGGTGGTGGTGAAAAAATCTATGTGGTTGCTAACAGTTGACACTGATTTGATGGCATGTAATCAATAGATATATTTCAGATTCACTAAAATACAGATCTAGCTAGAGGTAAAGACTTGGGGATTTTTTTTTCCTGATTGAAAAAGATACAGCATGAAAGTTAGGTTAAATTTTTTTTCCCTTAGTCATGGCTTCACATGTTGTGTGACCCTAACTATTGTGGCTAATTAACCATGGTTGACGGTTCAGTGAACTATGTGGGTTATTCCAATTCCACATCATTCGGTGAGTCATGATTAATCCGGCTGTATCTTACGGGTTGATGTAGTGTAGTACAACAACTGCACACTTCATTGCATCAGAAAGAAACCCACTTCCAAAAATCCAGAAGAGTTTCAGTCCATTTCTTCTCAATCAATATGAGCAATATCATTGGCTTCTTAGTTCATTTTCCTCCGACCTTCTTTTCTTTGCTTCAAAATGTTCTTGTTTGTGGAATATTTTCTCCTTTTTTTATGCCTGCTGAGTGCGAGAATATCTAGAACATGCTGCTCCCTTGTCTTCTTAGGGTTATGCCTGATTTGGGTTAAGTAGACATCAAAATAGTAGCTATCAGCATTTCTGTTCTTCAATAAAACCTGTAAAGTTGCACAGATTGCCAGCAAAACAATTTTCAAGATAAGTAGCCTGGTTCAGACTACTGTAGATTTCAGAGGATAGTGCCATATTTAAAAAAAAAAAAAAAAAAAAAATTTAAAGGGGCCAGGGACGAATCGCAGCCTTCAGGGCTGCCACATTGAGGGTGTCCTGCTGCTTGTTGTTCTGCTTTTTCTTTTCTCTCCTCTTGCCCAAACACAGCTGGGTTCACAAGAGGCGAAAAGAAAACATGATACTTCTGCCAAAGAGACAGGAAACTGTAGTAGCCTTGTGAGCAGCGAAGGGTTGAAGCACGGCCTGCCGTCCAATCAGCGGAGAGCTCTGTTGCTATGTGCACACTTTTCTCTGCCTTCTTTGTGGAAAAAATGTCTTGCACAGAAAGGCTGAATATGTACCCAAAGCTGAACATTTTTGTGTCCGCCACTGCAGACATCTGGATCCTCGCGATACTGACACTGTAGCCCCTGTGTTGCCAGGGCACCTTCTGTCCCACCACGATTCCAGTATGGTTTACGGTGGAAACAAAGGGCTGATCCGAGAAGGTGTGTAGTCAAAAAGAAATAATTCTAAATGCTGAAATGCTCTCCGAGTTGTTTTATGAACCCCAGTGTTTGTTTATATGTGTGTCTGTTTGTTTCTTTCCTTCTTCGGCTGAGCTGGTGTGACTCATAGGCTGTAGCTTCTTTGTCTACATAAAACATAATACACATGGATCCTTTTTGCCAGTTTTTAAGCTCATTTCTGAGGACAAAGAATAAGGAAAAGAGTTAAAGGTTGTTGATTCTGAACAAAGGAAGAAGGAGAAATGGTAAGAGGGGAGAGAGGTGGTCAAATTCTGCTAGGTGTAGCATTTCACAAAGGAATAAAACACTTTGGTGAAGTTGAGCTGGGTGCTGATTATTGAATAGCACCACAATTGATTTCACAGCCTACCGTTGTGTAAACCCCACTGAAATGAGAGCATCACCCACTAAGGTGGTATTTTGAATTGCTACGGTGTTCTCTGTTCCTGTAGTGTTCTAGAGATAATACCTGTTCAAGTACATTACTTTTGGAATATCAAATCTTCTTGGGTTTTTCTTTTTCCTTATCATATATGGATTTATGATGAGCGCAGGTCACACTTGCCTTATTTACTGGTAAAATGTAACAGTAATTGACCATATTCTTTTGTGTGTATAGGTAAAATTTCATACAAAGCCTGAAGAAATTATTACTGCTTTCAAAAAAAATCATGTGTTACAGTGGTGAATTCAGAGTTTTGTTATTAAAGCAAAAAAAGTTGTATACAATTACTTAAAGGATTTATGGTCATGACTTGAAATCAGACTAGTGGTATGTATTTTTTTTAAGTTACTATTCAACAAAGGGTGGAGGAAATGAGGAAACACACACACACAAAAAAACCTAACACATCAACCTTTCCCTATTGCACTGTACAGGAGACAAGGTTTTCAAAGAAATGGGAGGGGGGGGGAACCTCACAATTAGCTGATTTCCACTGCATATTCAACATCTTAATAGCTCAAAAGGTATAGATAACTGATTTAAGCAAATCATTCTAATCATTGTTTACATGTTTGATGGAGAGAGTGTGAGAGAAGAATATTTCCATTGGACTCTTGTGCTTCATGTTTAGAAAAATACTATGCTTTAATTAGAAATCTCTGGGGTAGCAGAGATTATTGAAAGCAATTTCCATTCAAACTATCCTAGTACCATTATACATAAATATGCCCTTTAAATCTATTTATGCTTTTGTTGTAGAGACAAATTTATTGGCTTGAATTTCTCAGGTTTTAGCAGTTACTTTGCAAACGTAAACATTTAATAACAGTTGTGGAGAGAAGCTATGGAAAACTTGAGAATGTTTAACCTTAGTCATAGCCGATGGTATCACATTACTGAAATCTTTCCAGTGCAATGTAAAAATTCAGTAATATAATGGTGAGAAATTAGTCACCCTCTGGATGGCATTGGCATAGTCAGTAGTCCAGGATGCTGGGAGTTATAGTTCAATAACATCTGGAGGCAAAATATTATTCCTACGTATACCAGTGTAGGAACAGTCTTGGTTCATTTGAGTGGATGTTTTCTTTTCCATGCAGAGAGGTATTGCTCATGTATAAATGAGTTGAATTCCACTGGAATAAGAATTATTTCTGCATATGTGTTACTGTTTGCCCATGTTGCTAAGTGAGTTATGGTGTCCGTGAAATAGATGGTTGAGCATGATGGATAAATTCAGTCTAAAAGCAAGGGTCTTCAAACTTGGCCCTTTTATGAGTTGTGGACTTCAAAAGTAAGCAGATTGCGTCTCTTTCTTCATGTTGTCAAGGGGGTCGTTGTTACCTAGATGTGGTCACCAAGAATTTATTCTTTACAAGATAAAAATAGCATGTGTAGCAGTGTAAAATCTTTTAAGAGAACATGGTTGAGTTTTCACTGAAGAAAATTAAATGTAGGAGTATGCACACTTGAAACTATTTGTACTGTTGTTTATAAAATTGCACCTTTTCTTTTCTCTGTTAAGACACCTTAGATGAATACTTTGAATACGAAGCGGAGGAATTCCTTGTCAACTTGGCCCTGTTGATTACTGAAGGCAGAACACCCGAATATTCAATTAAGGGCAGGACTGAAGGCTTCCACTGCCCTCCAGCACAATCAAGTCAACCAACAACAACTAAACATGAATGCAGTGACAGATTGGCCCAGGTATGATGATCCATGCTTATGATGGTTGGTAAGTTGGTTCTTCTGGAAAATCAGCATTAGATACTATAACGTGACATCAATGACGCATTTACCAGCCCAACTGTGCTTAATCTCTGTTTATGTTAGGCAAGCAACCACCTTTAGAATGTATTTACTTTAGAAAGTAAATACTTTTGATTATTGGTCTGCCAAATTAATTTTTTGTACGTTATAATGGGGCCAACTGGATTAAGTAGAAACTCCTGGGTTTGATACATGGAGTTACCTCTCAGAAATGCATTACGGACCTCGTTTTCATTTTGCGTTATTGGTTTCAAAAATTCTATTTGGTTTTTACCCAGGCGGATGTCAGTGTAACTTTAGCTTGTTTGATTCTTTTGTTCAAGTGCCGTCAAGCTAGGCTTACCCGATCTGAAGTTGCCTTGCTGTGGAAGAAAAATATTCCTATTATGATAGAAGTGATGCTACTTCCAGACTGCTGCTATAGCGATGAAGGACCCACGACTGAAGGGAATGACTTAAATGATCCTGCAGTCAAGCAAGATGCGCTGTTGTTGGAAAGATGGATTTTAGAGCCAGTTCCACGGCAGTAAGTTTTTTGTTTTTGTTTTATTGTGAGAGTTGGTCTGGATTGAAGCTTACAACCATCTTCCAATTAGGTCAACTTATCCCCTAGCACAGCTGTCCCCAACCTGTTTAGCTCCATAAACTGGCAACGCAATGGTAGTGATGGTGGGGGGGGGAAAGAAGGGGATGGTTTTGCAACCTAGTTCCTGAGCATGTGCAAATAAAACTTGGCACACTTTCCCGCCACTTGTGCGGACTGCTACCTGGCCATGGATTGCTACCAGTCCACAGACCAGGGTTGGGGGACCCGTGCCCTAGCAGGATCCAGAAAAGAGAGCCTTGTCTGCTGTTGCCTTTGTCCTCTGGAGTATGATTCCTTGGGGAATCATAGGGCTCCTAGAACAAGCTTTAAAGAGTTGGCTCTTTCCTTAGGCTTTAGTTAATGTCTGGTTTGGAGGTAGACTCATTTTTTTTGTTTTCAGTTTGCTCTCTCTAGCTTAATATCTTTTATCAGTTTTCATTGTGAAACCTCCCCGAATCATTTTGGAATGGGGGAGAATAGAAAGTTGATGAATGGAGGAATGGTTAACTGAATTCAGATAAAATGACTATGTAACAGACACTACTACTAAGGCAGAATCTGCTTTTTTTTTTTTCTTCAAATTTTGTTTATTCACTTGAATAGGCAGATAGCGTTTTCCACTTTCCAGCAGCATGTGGTCCCATCTTGAAATTGCTGGAAGCTAATTGCCCCATACGGAGAAAAGTCGGTACTACCATAACATATTCTAGATTAAAATTATGTTTCATAATTTGAGTCAAAATGAACGCTCAGAGACTACATGAATGCACCCGTGCAGTTTTCTTGGCGGTGAAAAGAAACAAAATGGTCATAAATGATTTGGTGATGGGGAATACACTCCTACTTTTATCTGGGGCGGGGGCGGGGGAGTAATTGCATTCAACTACCCTGTTCTGCCCTTTCTTTGTATTTTTCACCAGTGAGCATATTTTCTCTTTTGGTATATTTTTAGAACTGGTGATCGATTTATTGAAGAGAAGACCCTCTTATTGGCTGTCCGCTCTTTTGTGTTCTTTTCTCAGTTAAGTGCTTGGCTGAGTGTGTCACACGGAGCCGTGCCTCGTAATATTCTTTACAGGTAAGCTTTTGTCGGAAAGCCCCACCTGTTCCTTCCCAGCAGCTTGTGAAGATGAGAAGCATGCTTTTAATATGTTGCTTCTGATTTAATTAGTCTGCTTGATCCCATTTAGGGGAGATTGAGTTTTATTTTATTTTTGTTTAAAAAAACTTTATTTTAGATTGTGTGCCCAAAGCTCAGGAACTAGAACATGCTCTAAATCAGTGGTTCTCAACGTTTTTAATGCTGCGACCTCCAACCGGTCGTAAGTCGAGGACTACTCAACTGGTGCAGCACCGTTTGCAGAATGGGACTTTTGGCGGGCTCAGCAGGGCAGAGACAGCCTGGACAATTCCTAATGGCTTTTGAAAGCCAATAGAATTAGACTCTGTTCAAGAGAGTCTATTCTATTGGCTTTCAAAAGCCAATAGAATAAAAGGGAGGAGCACACTAAGGAAAAGGGGGGGGGAAAATGGCGGACTGCGTTGTTTGGCGACCCCCATGAAATGGTCATTCGATCCCAAATGGGGTCCCGACCCACAGGTTGAGAACCACTGCTCTAAATTAAGACTTGAGCTGCTTTGACATTGTTATCCTGCTTTTAATTTTTCAGAGTGAGTGCCGCTCACGTGGATTTGCAGTGGGCGTTTTCCCAGACACCAACAGAACATCTTTTCCCTGTCCCCAACGTTTCTCACAATGTGGCCTTGAAAGTCAGTGTCCAATCTCTGCCCAGACAATCGAACTACCCAGTCCTGACCTGCAGCATCCATGCCAACTTCGGCTTCTATGAAAAGAGAGGAGAAGAGAATAATGTACATCAGCACTGTGATTCCATTAAGACCGAACAGTCCAGTGTGCCCAACTCACAGCGTTCTTGTGCCAAACTGATGTGGGCTGAAAGCGTGCTGGGCATAAAACAAGGCCCTGAGTTTAACCCTGCTGTCAGAAACCTGAAATTGTATCCATTAGCTGGCCTTGGATCTGACTTTGGATCGTTAGAATCGAAAGTTCAGGGCTACACAGAGAGGAGGGCGCTGTTGCCAGAAACACCAGCGAGAGCTTTGAAATCATCCTGCTTGGCTGATACCCATGGCCATAATAGCAGCTCTTCCCGCCAGTCATTGGGAGATTCGATTCCTTTGATAGGCTCTTTACTCCAAGAGCGCCATGAAGTTATAGCAAGGATTGCTCAGCATCTCATTCACTGTGATCCGGCAGCTTCCCCCATCACGAGGAAGGCTTTTAGTACCAGTGATACCGGTGTGGCAAACGCCAAGGCTCTACAACATGCCCCTGTAGAGAAAAACCTGCTGAAGAAAGGAAAGGAATTGTCCTCCCTTGCTGCTAACTTGGAACACAACTCTTCAGAAAATGTTGGGAAAGCCCAAATAATACCAGAAACACCCTTGTCTCCCTCCCACGCTCCCCCGAACCAGTGTTTCCGCCAGGCGAGAGAGGAAACCAACCCTCTCATAAGCTCTCTACTTCAAGAGAGGCAAGAGGTTATCACAAGGATTGCCCAACACTTGATTCATTGTGATCCACCGCCCTCCCAAGGTGCACCTCCTGTGTTCAGTTTTCATGACGTTCCTGCCGTTAATCCAAAGGCTTTTCACAGTTCCTGTGAAGAGGACAGCCTGCTGAAGAAAAACAAGGAAGCCCCTTCCGATTCCTCCTCACATTCTAGATTGGCTTTCCCAGCAGATGACCCCAACGCAAAACTTAAAACACCAGCAACCCCGTTGCATTCGCTTAGATGTGAGGTAGACCAGAATGCATCTCCCAGCTTCAGAAGAAAACTGCTGCCAGCAGAGACCAATGAAGTAGTCCAAAACACATTTCGCCAGTCTCCTCCCAGTAGAAGTAAAAGTCCTCTAACTTGCATGGCCCAATCATGTAGCAAAGAAAGTTATAAATCAGAATTGACAGATAAATTGGAGTCTGTACTTTCTGGTTGTCCCCATAAACCTCAAGTCGGAAAGAGAGGCACCACCAAGCCGTGTTCACATGTCAGATGTAGTAATGAACTGGTTTGTAGAAGTAAATTTAAGGACAGGGCGATCTCTTGTGAAAATAGCGACCCACACTGTTCAAATAATCCCCAGGTGGATCAGCACAGAATACTTGAAAATGTCAAAGCAGCTACAGTTTCCGCCTCGGAGATCTGGCACAAATATACGTCCAGGCACTTAAATAAAGACTCCAAAGAGCCAAATGTCTCTGAACAAAACTCTCAGCTCACTAGTATTGAAAACTATTTACATAAAGACCATGACATTTTCAAATGCAAAAATAAACAAGACAGGGCGAAAAATGCCAACGATGAGAACGACTATGAGGTGCAGAAGCATTGTCAGAAGAAGCCTGTGGAAGATACCTTGGCTGCCTTTTTTGAACAAAGGAAGAACGCAGAGGTGCTGGTGAGTGATGTTTAATTCACATACGGTCAGTCTCTGTTGTATGTTCCTCCCTTAAGCATTGAAGATGACTCAGGAGAAAGTTAATCTCTGCCTTTGTAGTTTTGCTTGTGTGTATACACATACATATTCAAAATGACAGGACCCAGAGAAATAATTGTAACATGAGGAATAAGAAAGTTCTTTGGCACCCTTTTCTGGCCAATGCAGTGTTAATTATTTGCTGGAGATGATTTTTCTTCCTTTTGACTTGATATTTTAGCCATGCCTATTTCTGTAAAATGGGTGACTGAAATCCTTTTACTTTACACTATTTTTTTTGTTTATGAAAGTGAATGTTCATAAATGCTTTATAGGATTAGGTAATATGTGTAGAGTGTATGCAGGAAATTTGTGACTTGGCTACTCTGCTACTGAAAGACGATTGCATTAAGTCAAAAATTACTATAAATGTACTTCGGATCTCATGGAAAAATATCCCGGCCCATGGAATTTTTTCATCTTCACTTGGCAATCCTGAACATCATGCTCTCTAATGGATACTGGAATTTAAAGCATCCCTATTTCTCTGGTGATGAGAACAGAAATTATCCAGCATGTCTTTTATATTTGAATTAAACTATCAATTGGTTTCCTTACATATGTGGTGGCAAGGTTCTACATTTAGGCAAGAAAAACCAAATGCACAGGTATAGTATAGGGGGTACCTTGCTCAATAGTAGTAACTGTGAGAGGGACCTCAGAGTCCTAGTGGACAATCACCTAAATATGAGCCAGCCGTGTGCTGCAGCTGCCAAAAAAGCCAACACAGTGCTGAGCTGCATTAACAGAGGGATAGAATCAAGATCACGTGAAGTGTTGATACCACTTTACAAGGCCTTGGTAAGGCCACACGTGGAACACTGCATCCAGTTTTGGTCACCATGATGTAAAAAAGATGTTGAGACTCTAGAAGGAGTACAGAGAAGAGCAACAAAGATGATTAGGGGACTGGAGGCTAAAACATATAAGGAACGGTTGCTGGAATTGGGTATGTCTACTTTAATGAAGAGAAGGACCAGGGGGGGGACATGATAGCAGTGTTCCAATATCTCAGGGGCTGCCACAAAGAAGAGGGAGTCAAGCTATTCTCCAAAGCACCTGAAGGCAGGGCAAGAAGCAACGGATGGAAATCAATCGAGGAGAGAAGCAACCTGGAACTAAGGAGAAACTTCCTGACAGCAAGAACAATTAACCAGTGGAACAACCTGCCTCCAGAAGTGGTGAATGCTCCAACACTGGAGGTTTTAAAGAAGAGACTGGACAGCCATTTGTCCGAAATGGTATAGGGTTTCCTGCCTCAGCAGGAGGTTGGACTAGATGACCTCCAAGGTCCCTTCCAACTTTATTACTACTACTACTACTATTATTATTACTACTACTACTTTAGTTCTCTCCAGCCAATTGTCATCTTTTAGAAGAAGTTACCATTGAAAGCACATCTACAAAGTAGAGGCAATAGGTGTTATGTAGACAATATTTACTGAGTTTCCTTGACCTGTAGTTCCATCACTGGAGGAATAATAAGTAGGAATAAATTGCCTCTTAATTTGGTTAAGTACTTAGGAAATTGAGTCATAATGGCACTCTTTATAACAGGATGCTGTCTTCTTCTTTGGGCAGAAAACAAGACCACTCAAACATGTGTGGCACAAAGGTAATTTTCACCACTTGGATGGGACTTCGACCAGGGCCTTCCACCCCCGAACTGGATTACCTCTCCTTTCAAGTCCAGTAAGTCAAAATTTTTTCAGCCTGGCTTCATCTTTTCTTTATTTTCCAGGTTTTTCAATACCAGTCCGTAAATGCTTTATGCAACTAACTTTGTTATTGGATCTAGATATTGCATTTTTTGTTCATTTTTCATTTTTTTTATAAAGAAAACCCAGATTTGGCACTATAGAAAGAATGCAGGCAATGTACCAGGGGGGTGGTTCAAATATTTGCCGCTTTTTACACATATAAAGAAAACAACCATTAGTTCTGGGGGGGGGGGAAGCTTAGTTTGATCATTGTTTTGAATGTTGATGTCAAAATGACATTCCCATAAAGTTAGAAGTACTTTTGTCAAGCTCTTTACTGCCCCACCTCCACAGAAAGCAAGATTCCTTCAGGGGTTCTTTATCAAGATGTATTGAAAGAGGATAGGTTTACATAAATCTCAGGGATTAGATTAGTTTCCCCTTTAGAATTCAGCTTATATTCCAGGTCCTTAAGGTAGAAACGTCACTATCTTACTCATGGATCCTGGACGAAATGACAAAGTAGTGGTTCTCTTCAATGAGAAGATAAGATAACCTTTATTGTCATTTTTTTATTGTGGGCACAACGGCACACATCAAAAATGAAATTTAGTTGCCTGCTCTCAAAGTGAAACACATACATGACACACACCTAAAACATACTATGTACAACATATGTATAGACCCACACCCCTACATATACGTAGCAAATAAATATTAAATGCTGTCCATCTTGAATATATAATGGAAGGAAGAGGCATGAGAGTTCACAAGGTTAATGCTGTATGGAATGAAACTGTGGCTGAATCTGGATGTTCTGCTACGGATACCACGGAGCCCCCCTTCCAGAAGGTAAAAAGGAAAACAAATCGTGAAGAGGATGTGTAGTGTCCCAGATAGTCTTGCAGACCCTGCTCAAGCAGCGCTTCTGTGCTATGTCCTGGATGGGAGGGAGGGAGTTGCCAATGATCTTTTCGGCCATTCTCACCACTCTCTGCACCGCCTTCCTGTCTGAAGCAGGGATGCTTCCAAACCAGACTGGTTCTAAATGTACTGCGACAACTGTGGATATTCTGTTAGCATTATACATAGAAGAGTTTGTGCTTTCTGGCCATTGCATGCCACTGTTCTTCATAATTCCACTCAGATTCCTTTTTAAATTAGTTTACATTTGCACAATGCATTAGTGTCATTCATTAAACTTAGTGCTGTACACACTGAAGTGGAAATACATTGGTATATTTCTGGATATGCATGGCTTATGTACTGTATATTGATTCCAATTAAAGAAGTCACTGCATTATAACAAATGTATCTCTCTTATCAAATCATGATGGTAGTAACAGTGGTGGTAATGAAGCAATCTAATGTATTTAGCCTTTATCTTTTGAAAGCTCCAGTTCTGGTATCTGGGATAAATGCCTCATCCAGCCAATTGGCTTTAGTCTCATTGTTTAATATTAATTATTATCATAAATATTGTATGCGCTAAAATTTCAGACTCTGTCTTGGAATACAAAAACATAACTGTGTTTCTGTCTTTGCAGGTTCCTGAAAGAAAAACACAGACAGGATGCTTTGATCTTGATGCATCATTGTTGCATCTGAAATGTCTGTCATCCAAAAGGTATTTTTTGGAATATGTTTTCTAACCTTTGTGTATTCTAAAATATGCTTTGAAGAAAATGAATATTTTGGAAAAAGATGAATGAATTGAAGCAATTCAGTAAAGGAGTAAAGACAGTGAATATTGGCATAGTGTGTTCAATAAAATATGACCCACAACTTTATTCTAGATGTTTGTTTATGAAAACCATATCATATTGTAGTCCCTAATAATGCATGGTTACACATAGTTCTAAAATAGTATTTTCCAAACTTGGCTACTATAAGATATATGGGCCTCAACTCCCAGAAGTCCCATGTTGGCTGGAAACTTCTGGGAGTTGTAGTTTACACATCTTAAAGTTGCCAAGTCCAAAAAATACTATTTTAGAACTATGTGTGATCATGCATTATCAGAAACTACAATATGATCTGGTTTTCGTAAACAAATATCCCATATGTTGTAGTACATTTTATTGAACACACTATCTTAAAGGGTTCACAAATATGTGAGTTTCTTGGATTCCTACACCATATTACATCGCAATGTAACAGCAGAAGAAATTGCTTCCATAACTTTTTAACGTACCATTGATAGAGGCTGCATTGCCCAGACTCCATAATTTGACTTGAGGTAATTATTATGTAACCAGTGAGACAAAGCAGACTTAGTTATGTCTGGTCTGAAGAGCTAAAGGCTCATGAAATGCTATGGAAAACTGGTAAATCTAATAGCTAGAAATTCCTAAGGATTGTAGAGATGGATGCCTTGTGTGTCACCAATGTGTCACCAATGCTAGCATTTTTTTCCTAAATACTATTTATGTGGTGAGTTCGTTTTCTTTTGAGATGGCCTTATCAGTATTATGGTATTGAAATTGTATACATTCCTTTAACTTCAAAGCCTAAGCATTTGAAGCCTGGAATAAGAATCTTAGACCTCTATTTTTTTGTTTTAAACTAGTCCACAACGATACATAAGCAAAGAGAACGATTCCGACATCCACGAGAAAGCACTCCTAAGCTCCAGTACACCCTCTGTTACAAGTCTTAGCCTTCTCGGAAACTTTGAGGTAACTTATACATTCCAAAACCTTTCTTTTTTGTCACTGACAAACTGACTGTTTTCTGTGTAACATATAAGACGAGCCAGTGGGTTTGCTTACGTGGAGAAGGTGTCAAGTTCAGGCAGTTGATCTTCAGTGAAAGGAATCCAGTACTACCAATAGCTTTTTCCTGAGAATTTTCAGAGACACTGCCAGTTGGATTGGCTAGCCCTGAGCCAGAAGAATGAAGTTCGTCTGGCTTAGCACTGGAAACTTCCTTTTGAACCATTATCCAGACCAGCGTTTCTCAACCAACTTTAAGCAGGCTGGCAGGGAATGTTTGGGGAACTGAAGACTTCTGTACTTCCCCAATTCTTTCAAGAGTTACCGTTGTTACTTCTCTCCATTTTCAAATATAAATCCAGACTCGATTCTTAGGATCGTATTTTCAGTTTTCAGACTTCTAGCAGCCATTTTAGTGGTTTGACCTCAGTGGATAGTTGGCTGCTTGATGGAGGGAAGGGAAGGGCATACTTTGACCAATAAAATCTAACTATCCACACATTGCATTTTTCAAGGCTGCCTTTGTCCTTTCAGGAATCTGTACTGAACTATCGTTTAGATAGGCTGGGTATTGTAGACGGCTTCACAGCTGAAGTGGGAGCAAGCGGACTTTTCTGTCCAACTCACATGACTCTTCCGGTTGAAGTTTCTTTTTACAGTGTTTCTGAGGACAACGCGCCCTCTCCGTATATGGTAAACATTTCAGCTTTCTGTATGTAGAAAATGCATGTTGTGTAGCGTTTAACATCTTAACAGAATAACAAAGTTGGAAGGGACCTTGGAGGTCTTCTAGTCTAACCCGCTGCTCAGGTACAAGCCCCCTTTCCCTTCTAAAAATCTTCCACGTGTTTCCACATGATCTTGAGAAAAGCTGCACTCGGCCTGAGCCAGATGTATGGTCCTTCTGATCCAATATTGCTGCATAGCTCCAATAAGACACGCTAGACCAGTGGTTCTCAACCTTCCTAATGCCGCGACCCCCAACCATGTGGTCGTAAGTCGAGGACTACCTGTATTTCCCTGCGGGCGGGGGCAGGAGGAGGGGCGGGGTTTGCTCGCTCTCATTCTCTCTCTCACTTTTTATTTTTCTCTCTCTGGCACACACGCTCCACCTCCTCTCCTGTGGCTGGAGCGCACGCCGGGCAGGCCGAAGGCGCACGCCTATAGAATAGACTTATTGAATAGAATATTGAATAGAATATTGGCTTTCGAACGCCAATAGAATAGACTCTCTTGAATAGAGTCTATTCTATTGGCTTTCAAAAGCCAATAGAATAAGAGGGAGTAGCACAGCTCATGAAAAAGAGGAAAAAAACAAAACAAAACAAAATGCCAGACTGCGTTTCACAAGGATTTTATGAGGAAAAACTCCAGGACTTTGGCGACCCCCGCGAAATGGTCGTTCGACCCCAAATGGGGTCGCGACCCGCAGGTTGAGAACCGCTGCGCTAGACTGCACGGCAACGCTTCTAATTGCCTTCTTGAATGTCTTAAGACTATGCAAAAATACTTATTAACAGTTTCTCTCGGGTATGAATTTGTGAATTCATTACTTTGATGTGCTAATTCTTATGTCCACATGCCTACTTGTCTTCTTATGCTTCTTACTTTCTTCTCCTTTCCCTCTCAGGGTGTAATCGCTTTAGAGTCCCTTGGTAAAAGGGGTTATCGGGTGCCTCCTTCAGGAACAATACAAGTGGTATGTACCATGTGGCAGATCATTACATTGAGTTTGTGGGCCATGGAGTCTTAACTCCTTGCTCAGTGCAGGAATCCACATTGAGGCATCTCAGGTGGAGGGCTGTCTAGTTTTTGCCTGAACACAGCTACTGAAGGGAGAGCACCAACTCTTTGTGTAAGTGGTTCCAGCACTTAAATTATTCATATCGTTAATATTCAGTTGGAATTTGCCTTCTTGTGACTGAAATCCAATTCCTTGCAAATTGCAGAGAGGGAAAACAAGTCTGGCACATTTTGTGGTTCTTTTAGGCAGTTGAAGATTTACGTCTGTCCCTCTTCCATCAACTTCACTTAAGGCTAAACAGATCCTTCAGTGTGTTTCTGATGCTCTGATCTTCATTACCTTCTTGATACCCTCCCGTTAATAAAACTATTTTAATGTGTTCATTTTTCATTAAATTTCTCATAAACAAAAATATTGAAAACTAGAGGGCCCCAGGGCAAATTCTTGTAACATTTCACATGATGCCACTGTCCAATTTGAGGAGGCGCCATTGATGAAATCTCTTTTGAGTCAGCTGTACATTCAGTTTTCACGCCCACACTTTAGTTTTCTAATCAGAAGATCATATAAATGATTTGGTAAGCCTTTATTTCATTGTAGAGCTAAACATTTGCTTATGAAAAAAAGCCTGACAAGGAGAGTGAAAATAATCTGATGCTGTGTTTCCTTGCTTTAGGTGAAGAAGTACATTCTGGCCATATAGAAGTCAATTTAGTTGAGAAATAGGGAGGCAATGTTTGTGAAGATACATGATTAATTGCAGAGGTCACATTGCTTTAGATCAGTGGTTCTCAACCTTTTTAATGCCGCGACCCCCAACCGGTTGTAAGTCGAGGACTACTCAACTGGTGCAGCACCGTTTGCAGAATGGGACTTTTGGCGGGCTCAGCAGGGCAGAGACAGCCTGGACAATTCCTTTTGGCTTTTGAAAGCCAAGAAAATTGGACTCTATTCAAGAGAGTCTATTCTATTGGCTTTCAAAAGCCAATAGAATAAAAGGGAGTAGCACAGCTAAGGAAAAAGGGGAAAAAAATGGCGGACTGCGTTGTTTGGCGACCCCCGTGAAATGGTCGTTCGATCCCAAATGGGGTCCCGACCCACAGGTTGAGAACCACTGCTTTAGATTAAGAGCAAGAAAAAAATTTACTCTTCATTATTTTTTCCCACTAAGAATAGGGTTCATTTCTGTGAAACTCAGAATCCTATTTAGTGGTAAAAGTCTAAATGCTCTTTTTGTTTTTACTGCAAATCGGCTAAAGATAAGTTCAAAGGAGGTGATTAGTTTCCTTCTGAAAAATTAAACCGTTTGCAAAATACAGTTTTTTCAGAGTGTGATTTCTAAGAATCAGTTTGACTAAGTTAAGGCAAAGGCTTTCAGCACATTTACATCAGTTAATTAACTCGTGAATGCAAGAGTGTCTATGTCACATTTACAACTGTATTGTGAAAGGCAGCAATATGCAGTTGTCGGGTGTCTATCTCCAGCATTTCATTTCCTTTTGAAACTCAGTCTTGTTATTCCCCCAACCATAGAGATGTCAGTCAGTCAATTTTGTTCAGCTGAAACTCCACAGATAATCTTTAGTTCATGAACTTTGGTGTTATATTATATTTAATAATTTTTAGGGAGCTTAGAAATGTATTGACTTTGCTGCAATAACACTACATTATTCCTAGCGCTCTAATCAAAATATTTAGTAATTCTTTGCAATACCATCCTAAAACAAAATTATATTACTACAAGAAATTATGATCAGAAAGGCATAAAACCAAATCTGGGCATTGAAATGAGGTGTTTTTCCCCCCTCTGTGTCAGAGGTTGCTAAACTAATTTTTAATTTGCAACAGTACTTGATAAAATTAAAACGTACCTAAGAGAAATGTTGACCAGTGGCTTTAAATAATAACCGCTTACTGTATTTGTCCAAACAGAGCACTGGAAGAGGGAATAACATGCTAAAATTAATTTTTGCAGCTTAAGAAACACCAATGAGAAAACTGAGCATTTGATGTTAGAGTAGGGTTGGCCAAAACCACAGTTTCCTCCATCCCAGCAACACTGGGTGAAAAAAAGTTTCCAGAGGAGATGCCATGGGTCCATCTTTCTTAAACATATTTGGTTCTTTTTATCTGCTTCAGTGATTTCCGTGAATTCGCACCATTCTCAAACACACGGCCATTCTTTTCCCCCCCTCTAGACCTTATTTAATCCTAACAAGACTGTGGTGAAGATGTTTGTGGTGATCTATGACTTACGAGAGATGCCTGCCAATCACCAGACATTCTTGCGGCAAAGAACTTTTTCTGTCCCTGTGAAGCGAGAAACAAGAAAAAGCATTCTTCAAGAAAACACTCGGCATATTGAAGAGAGACTATTACGCTACCTCATTCATCTGAGGTGAGACAGTGGCTGAGCAAACAAAGGCATAATCTCTGACATAACCTTGGGGGTCCAAGGGGCTGCAGTTGACCGGAGAGGGCTGTGCTGAGGATCCCAAATTATGCATGGCTAGCATGGGGCTCTTTCCCTTTTTAATGGCGATATACTTGCACGATGCTTTTCTCCAAATAGAAGAACCCTCTACCTTTAAGTAGCAACAGAGCATCTTTTGGAACAAGGCAGTGACTAGGAATGCTATAGCATTCACCTGTCAGTTAAAACACAGCTAAACAGCATCAATTTACTTTGACAGATTTTCTTTTCCTCCTCATTTGAACAGTTTGAATTAATTTGAAACTTCAAACTAAGAAACTCAAGTTTAGCAGCTGAAATCATAGACATACTCTCCAAAAGAAATTAAATTTTGGAACAGTCAACTATTTAATGGCTGCATCTCCTGGGAGGTGCTAATTTAGGATGTGTCACTCTTCGGTGGTGAACCTACCTTATGAAATGGTGGTCAGCAAAAACATTTGAACCAGACTAAAGTTGACATTTACTATTTATAAAAGTTGTCTTGCAAAACCCAAGAGGTCAATAATGCAGCTCTTTATGTGTACTTATTGGATCTCTTGAATGTCTAAACCAGTTTCTGTAAAATAAGCTAAATGCCCAAACATTAATTTATGGTATACTTGCATCTGGACTGAAAGTTCTTTAGAATTGCTACAGACAGTCCAGACAAAGAGCACGGTGCAGTAGAAAAAAATAAGGGACACTATTTCAAGATATAAACATTAAGAGTATGCAATGGTACTTTGCCTGAATATAACAAATATAGTTCCAAGGTTGCAATCACTTGTAAAATTTGTTCGTATTTCAAATAACTTGGAACGTTGGGAAGCAAACATCAAATAAATGAACTGAGAAACAATGAGTCACTTTTGGACTAGTTTACATTGTCATTATTGCAAACAGGAACTGCTGTTGGGATGCCAAAGAACTCATGAAACCTGACCATATTGACAGAACTGTAATATGAAATAAAAAATAAAAATGTTAAAAATGGCTGACTCTTGGGAGACCTTATAAGACGTTACTAATCACTAGATTTCTAGGCAGAAATACTGCTAAATCTTACTTAGCCTCATGTAGGACTTCAGTCTTGTGACAAATTGACTGTTATGTGATAATTTATCAGTTATCTATTCCTCTCCCAGGTTCCAGAGTTCCAAGTCTGGAAAGATCTACCTCTACAGAGATGTAAGACTTCTGTTTTCCCGAAAATCTATGGAAGTGGATAGTGGCGCTGCATATGAACTCAAATCTTACACTGAATCTCCAATGAATCCTCAGTTTTCACCCCGGTGTTAGCAAAACACAACCGTGAAACTATCCTCAATTACCAGATTATTATTCAAGACAAAACAATAAAATATCCTGTGCAAAACCTGAATTGCGGAGGTAGTGAGAAGGATGGTCAAATGGGAGTCAAAATCTCTTGGACCAGTTCAGAAAAGTTTTTAGAATGAGCTTTGTGTATTCTGAATAGACTGGAACACACTTAGTTGTAACCTTTTTATACTCGTTTTAAACCACTTCATTGGATGTGTTGCAATAGCAGATTCCCAAATTAGTTTAGTGTTTACACCTTATTTTATTTTTATTTTTGGGCTATTTAATATTTAATGTTCCTTTCACTTAAAAGTGATATTTGTCTTTACTGTTCTAATGTAGCACAAATCCGATGTAAAATCATACTACGTATTTTTGACATTAATATTGAAATCTTGAAATATATACAGAACCTTTACTTCGATGCGTGATGTGTTTTTCAGTGATTAACTCGCTTAGAATAAGGATGGGATTTGAACTTCCATTACATTAGCACACTATGCAAAGGATGTGGGGACAAGGAGAGGAGCCATGTATGTCTTTTCCATTGCTCATTTCTTTCCATGCTTAGTTTCCCTGATAAACAAAAAATCATACCAAAAGGAAAACATCTTGATTACTCATGATTCAACTCATAATTAGCACTTCCTTTCCTCTTAAAGATCTTTCTTCAAGCATTTCACTTCTGCATACCCACATTTGACATTACACTGCTGTCCCATACCTGACTTTTTCAGGCTATAGGGCTTTTTTTATTTTTTAAGATGTAAGGTGGAAAAGTCATATTTATATTGTAAACATATGTGAAAACAGCTATATTTGAATTCTGGTTTTATTTTGAGATAGTCTTTTATGCTTTTTTTTTGTTCCACGATTGGTTCTTGAAAGTTCTTTTATTGCAGTATGAAATAATTGCAAAAGAACTGCCCATGCCATGTGTTAGTACAGTTGCTGTAATGGAAGAATACTCGTGTTTCTCAACCTTAGCAATTTTAAGAAGAATAGACTTCAACTCCCAGAATTCCCCAGCAAGCCTTGATGGCTGGGGAATCCTGGGAGTTGAAGTCCACACATCCGCAAGTTGCCAAGGTTGAGAAACATTGCTTCAGAGTATTCTCTTAATGGTGGTTAGTATTTGAAAGAATTAGAATTAAGTAAAGCATTATTCTTCTATTGCTTATATTTCTCTTTTATTATTCAATCCCAAAATACAGTGTTAAGTAAAAAAAAAAACTTTGGTTCAGCAAAATGTTTATCTCAATAACTGATTCCCAACAAACTTAGTTCCTTTGCTGGTATGAAAAATAAAAAATAGTCTCTGGGAAAGATACTTTGTCTCTGTTCCATCCAAAGGTTTGGGTTTTTTTTCCCCTTGTTTAATTGGATATAAAATCTTTTTCCAAAAAGCATGTAAGGAAGGAAATTAGGCTTATTAACTCTACAAATCTTACCTTCCTACTAAGATAAAGAGAAATGCTTAATAAGAGTAATTAAATAATTACTGAAACTTTTATTTTCTTGGCATGCATATGAATACCACGCAAAACTAAATTTAAAACGTGTTTCCTGAAGGCCTCTAAGACACCAGAAGGGCAAAGATTTGGTGCCCTGAAATAAGTGCCTTAAGCCACTTTAGACACTATGGAAAGGGGAGTTATAAAAAGGCAAAAATACATGCTTCAGATCAAGTTGGAAGTCTCTGGGTACTGAAACTAGAAAGATGGCTTAGAAATTTGCTGTCGGTCAAATTCGCTCAGTCATTAAAAAAAAAAAAAGCTAACCGATGAGTAAGCCCAGAGAGAATTGCCTTAAAATTTAAGGCCATTTCTTAAATATGACGTAACTTTAGGTTAACCTAGAAGCGAGGCCAGTTAGCAATCCGGTTTATCCTTTGCAGGTTTCCCATGGTTTAAATCAGGGGTTCTCAACCTTGGCCACTTTAAGACTTGTGGACTTCAATTCCCAGAATTCCTCAGCCAGCAAAGCTGGCTGAGGAATTCTGGGAGTTGAAGTCCACAAGTCTTAAAGTTGCCAAGGTTGAGAACCTTAAGTTTCCAGAACCAAACCTTTCCAGGTATGCAGACCTAGATCCCACTGTCACGCCCACGAGGCCTTTCTGAAACCCACCCGGACCCATCTATCTACTCGTGAGGAAGCGCTACGAACTTGGCCAGAACGGCTCTACAGCCTGAAACGTCCCTTCTCCACCGGGAGAGTCAGGAACTTCAACTCCCAGAATGCCGCGGTAAATAACTCCTCGTGACGTAGACGGCGACGCACGCAGCTACGCGCCAAGCTCGCGCAGGAGCCAGTCGCCCTGCGCGTCTCTCCTGCGTGCTGGCTCGCGCCTTCGCTCTTAGGAGGCGTCCCGCGGCCAGAGAGAGGAAGTTTGGCCCGGTCGGCTCGCCGTCTTCACCGTCGGCCATCTTGTGAGCGGCTGTGCGCTGGGGAGGGTGGGGGGAAAAGGGAAACGCCAGGCGGTGCTTGGAGCTGCGCTTTCCAGCCGGCAGGCCTTTCTCGCCCGGGGAGGTAGCCCGGCTGTGTGGACGCCATGTCTGCGGAGAACCTGGAGCCCGCTTCGGCGGAGGAGCAGAAGGTGAGGAGGGGCGAGGGCGGGCTGCCGGAAGAGCAGCGGGCGGGAAGAGCTAGGCCTCCGCTCGGCGGAGGGGAAAACTTCCGGCGGGGCGAGGGAGGAACGGCCGTCTCCCCGGCTCTCTGCCGAGCGGGCTGGACGTGAGAGGGGGGGGCTCCCTCCGAGGCTCGAGAGGGAGGCCTACCTGGCAGGGTGCGTGGGTGGAAGCAACGCCCTTCCTGGCTCCCCTTCGCCCCGCCCCCCACCCCACGGGGGGGGGCTGCTGCTGCTGCAGGCACCCCTTCCTGCTCCCCCCCCACGGGGGTCCGCGAGGCGCGATTTCCCCCCCCCGCGAGAAAGTAGGGGAGGGGAGACACGCCCACGCGGCCAGGCAGCCTCTGCGGGTCCGACGCCCCCCGCCCCGCTTCCGCCTCCCCGCGAGGGTGGGATCGCTCCGAATTGGGCCCCCTCCCAGAGCGGGACGGGTCTCCGGAGGGGGGGGTCCCCGGTGGGCGTGCCCCCCTCGCCCTCCCCCCCCCTCCCGTGGCTGCGGGCGCCGGTGGCGTCTGATTGCAGCAGGCGAGGCGGGATTCTGACATCATCGGGCTCTAATGCGCAACCCCCCCCCCGAATAATAACAATTAAGGAGTAACGCTCAAGATACCAAGGGCTTCTGTGATGCAAGGTAGTCCGTCGATCCTGTCTCCGAAACTTGATCTAGAATAGATCTTTCTCTTCGGTCAGTGATTGAATTTGATAGCTTTAAAGCAGGGTTTCTCAACCTTGACCATTTTAAGGCATGTGGACTTCAACTCCCAGAATTCCACAGCCAGCAATGCCGGCTGTGGAATTCTGGGAGTTTATTTATTTATTTATGAGACTTATATACCGCTTTAAGTGCAAGCACTCTCTAAGGGGTGTACACCAGTAAGCAATGTATATATATATTTACATTGCCCCCAACAATCTGGGTCCTCGTTTTACCTACCCCGGAAGGATGGAAGGCTGAGTCAACCTTGAGCCGGTGAGATTTGAACCGCTGACCTGCTGAACGCAGTCAGCTAAAGTGGCCTGCAGGACTGCACTCTAACTGCTGCGCCACCTCAGCTCATTTGAAGTCCACATGCCTTAAAATTGTCAAGGTTGAGAAACACTGCTTTAAAAGGATGAAAGCCGGATTCAGAAGAGAGCGTCTGTATAGGACCATCACGTGTCCCAACGCTAAACTCTCCTGGGTCGTGTTTCAGACCGGTAAAGAAAGAGCAGAAAGCATCGAAAAATGGTTATTTCGTTCATGTTTGCCCTTAGGACCTTGACAAAAGTCGAAAGGGTTGGATTGTGGTGACTAGTAGTGCTGTCTTGTAAGTTAGGGATCTTGTAATACTGTTACCGGTTGGTTTACACCCGTAGCATCTTATACCTACGGTACTACAGTATTGCACAGTTATAGTTGGCAGTATATTCGAAGTATATGTTGAGCCATTGGTTTTTGGGTTTCTGTAAATTGCGAACCTAACCCTTTATATTATGTAGCCAAGAAACCATTATGAAGTGTGATTGGGTTATATACTTTTTAAACTGGGGATCACAATGTGAATTGTGAAATCACAGGACAGTATAATAGAATGCCAGTTTCTTACATTTTTAGGAAATGGAAGATAAGGTGGTTAGTCCTGAGAAGGCTGAAGAAGCGAAGTTGAAAGCAAGATATCCTCATCTGGGCCAAAAGCCTGGGGGCTCGGATTTTTTGAGGAAAAGACTTCAGAAAGGAGTGAGTTAAAAAGCTAACTTATCTAATAAAGGGAAATGTTTTAATTTGTCTTTGTTTGCTCTGAAACTAAAACCTATATCCTAGCAGAATAGCATACAGAATATTCAAACAATGCATTTAATTTATCTTCAAGGATACAAATGAATGCTGTAGATCCCTTTGTGGTACTTAATGCATTTTGTTCATAATGAATGCTTTCTTGGCCCGGGATTGCAATACTAAATACTCTATTCATTAATGTGAGCAGGATGTTGTAAGCAGTTCTAACTATCAAGTGATAACAAAAGTAGTGTTCTCCCTTTTAACCCATTTTGTCTCCATTGGATGAGTTTTTCCTGGTAAGGATCAACTTAAGCCTTTTATTCTGTATATGCGCCAATTTGATTCTGAAGCATGTATGTAATTCTTGAGGGAACTACGTTATATTTGCATTATATTTCACTTGATACATTTATCTTGCAGCAAAAGTACTTCGATTCTGGGGATTACAATATGGCGAAAGCAAAGATGAAGAACAAGCAGCTCCCTACTGCAGCTCCTGATAAGACTGAAGTCACAGGTGACCACATTCCTACTCCACAGGACCTTCCACAGCGGAAACCATCTCTTGTTGCTAGCAAGCTGGCTGGCTGACTAGGCTGGCAGAACTGCATGAATCTTCTTATTCCCTTAATCTTTCCTTAAGTTTTATTTCCTCACATTTTTGTTTCCACTAAGTCAGGGGTCTTCAACCTTGGCAACTTTAAGACTTGTGGACTTCAACTCCCAGAGTTGACGTCCACAAGTCTTAAAGTTGCCAGGGTTGAGGACCCCTGCAGTAAGTCATTGACTGACTGCTTAGCAGGTAGTGGTAGCGTGGGCTGCTATTGTAAGAGTCCATTTAAGAATTGCGTAATCCTTGGATGAGTTGAGAACAATGCACTGATTTTTTTTTTAAAAAAAGGACATGTTTTGTTAGAGCAATGTAATCTACTTGAAAAATGTACATATTACCCGTTTGCTAGTGTAGGGCTGGTTCCAGCAAGTGACAAAGCAAGTTTGAAAAATTTTAATGTTTTGGCGTTCCTTAGTTCACTTTAATTACAGTGTAATATGTTTGTATCAAATACAAGTTCCTTTTTTTTCTTGTGTTTTGGTTTTGTAAAGTAGAGGTTTTAGACAGTAAGTTCCTAGAAGGCAAAGCATGTATTAAAAATGATGGGGCTCTCACTAAATTTGTGTATCTACTCATGAACTTGAATGGCCTTAAACCTACTTCAGCTTTAACAATAGATTTTTACTTGAGCAATATTTGCTCATTTTGGTGTAATTCTTGTAAACTTTGTGCTTATTGACAACTGTCTGTTGAAGCTGGTATTCTTTTTGGTCCTGTAGTATAGAACACATTTTTAAAGTGGATGAAGTATGCATATGCATAGACTGCATTCACTTTTGTGCCATGTCTGTAAATAAGATAGTTTTGCACAATTTTTGCAAATATGTTAACTACACTTTTAAAAATGTGCCAACCAGAAGCACAAATTCTGTCTTGGAAAATCATCATACTTATTTGAATCAAAACCTCCTTAGCGAAAAGTAATAGACTTGTATGCTTAAAATCTGGAAAGTGTTGAAGCACTATGGATAAATTAGCTTTACCAATACATTTTCCCATTAATTGATTCAGTATAAATATTTCAGTATAAATATTTTCTCTATATATACAAAATAGTTTATCTGAAATATTCTATTTATTTCAAGGGACTAAATTTAAACACATTAAGCTTAAAAAAAATTAAACACATTTTAAATCACCCTACATAGGGACTTCTAGCACTATTGTATTTCTTCAGCACATTTGAAAATCTCTTTTTAAAATTAAATGCAAGAAGTTTAAAACATGAAATTATGGATATATCTGTGCTGCTACTGGAGGCCTCCAACATTATAAAAACAAAAGCATCTGCTATTTTAGGAGTAGTTAAAGAATACAAGCTCTTTTTAGATTAAGAAGTAAAGATGGTATTGGTTAGATTTGATATGTTCTAAAATTATGATGTTTTGTAAGATAAGAGTGCTTTGTCATTATATATTATAAATATGAAAGCAAAAGCAATCGTATCTTGGATATAATTGGCTATCTATACCACATATAAAAATTAACAACAAAATACTATTTTGTCTGTCTTAAAATCTCAGATTTACTTGACATTCTCACGCTGGAAGTTTTTTGTATAGTTTGAGAGATTTGACATTAGGCAATAGAAGTTGGATTTTTCCAAGAATAGTCTCTGAAAGTAATAAATTTCTGCTGAGCATCTTTTACAAATAAATTCAACATTCATACAAAGTAAAGAGTAAATCAACATTTTCGAAGGTATTGGACGTAGCCTTGCTACATCTCAAATTTTAAAAAGTTACTTTATACTGATCTGAATTATTGTTAGCTGCATGGGTGACATCTGGATACTTTGTAATTTCTAGTTTATTTGGGAGGGCTATTTCGTCACTTCTCCCCTAAAGCTATATTTTTTTTCTTTTGTCTGGGTAGTAATGACATGATATCTGTTCTTGCTATAATCTGCTTCAATTTTATGTCCCAGTTATATTGCAATTTGAATACTGTGAGAGTAAAATCGGCACCAGTAAAGATACTTTGTAGGGATAGAACTGAGAACCCAGTATCTGATTCAAAAATATGTAACATTTAATGGAAGCTGTTCCAACAAACGTTCAGTTTATTTTTTAAATAAGAGGTCGACCTTGTTGACTACCTTAAAATGATTTCCTAATAGATTGCTGCAGATTATAGTAAGGTGAATTTGTTTGCTAGGTAAGGAAGTATATAAACTATGTCAATCTAAACATTCCATTCTCCTGCTTACAAGTTATATTTTTGTATTGATATGACTGGGCAAATGTTAATGATACAAAAAAACATAAGCTGAGCAATTATAAGAGTTTATTCCAGTACCAGTCTGCTTTGATAATGAATCTCTGTCTCTAATAAACCTCAGCAACTGAAGATAGGTTGTTCTATATTAAGGATGCAAATAGTTTGATTAGTAATAATTTCTCAGAAGAGAGAATGGACATCTGAGCTGCAGCTTATTTCAACACGATAAAGCTGTTATGTTTGTATATAGACTGTATAATATGAGTTTTACCATTTGATACCTTTTTTTCAGAGATCTGCACTACAGCCTAACAATCTGCTTTAGGCAGTGATTAGTAATGCTCAAGGATGTCTGTACTCAAAATAGGTAACAGCTTCCCAACTCTTCCCCAGGAGTTCAGTAATTGTGTGTCAAATGATAAAATTTTTCCCGCTTCTGCTCCATCCACCGACTTTGCCCATTGTTACAAGAATCTGTGTGTGAACATGTGTATGCAGAGGCCACCTTAAAAAGTGCTCGGTCTGATAAGTTCTTTGATGCATTCCATAACCTGAGGCAATGAAGATTTCAGATGCTCCCTACAGCTTTCAATCTGTGTAATATGCATAATAAATACAATTAATTTGTTTTCACTGCTCTGTAGAAATTTTGTTTGGTGTTTTACTGAGTCACTCCATACCCACAATAACTGCCTTGACTAAAAGCATTGGTTTCCATGGAATTAATTTTGTATTAAGGAAAAAGCTTCTGTTTTCTAATATGTATTCAATATTAAACCTATAATGTTCCTGACTGTAACTCTATACTGTATACCTCAGTTCTTATTTTTCTAAAAATTGTATTAAATGTTATGATTTGATTTTAATACACCAATAGGCTTGTTTCTATGCAATTCATTTATGAAAATTGATTCTGAAAATTAATCCAAGAACCATCAGAATGGATTCTTCAGACAAATCCCTGAAGGAGCAGGAACTATGTAAATTCTTTAGTGTTCGGACTTCGTCTGATATTTTCTAATACAAAATTGCAGGTTCACCTTTGTTTTTGTCCGCTGTATACACTCTTTCTAGATATGATAGCACATTGGTATCTGGCGTATTTGTAATTTTGGTAAACTGTGAAGAAGCTGAATTGCTCCTGCATAACTAACCTTAGCTCTTTTAACTATTTGAATAGAAATACCTTCTACTTATTGATCAAACCAGAAAAATAGGGTCTATTCCAGTTGGTAAGAGATGATGGCAACACCATCCACCATCAGGGTAAAAAAAAAAAAATCAGCCTAATTATGCCTTGTGAAAAGGAAGAGGATGTCATAGACAACAGATAACACCAAACATCAGGAAGTGGTCACATTAGACTCCTACTTTTACTCTCAAAGGATGACTCAATGGGTCATAGGTGGTCTTGGAATTTATTTTGTGGGCCTCATTAAGAAATCTAATGGATGGACTTTGTGGAATAAAACTTAGTAGAAGCCCGATATTTTGTTGAGCACAAATTGGCCATGTGTACAAAACAGACTGGACTATCAAATTTACCACTCGTGTTTTAGCTTACTATACAGTATTACAAACCCAGCTTGTGTGGATATTGTACAAAAGCAAATAAATAAAATAAATGGACAGCGACAGCAGGTGGCAGCACTTATCCATGACTGATCTTGAAAAAGCTAAGTAGGGTTGACTTTGATTGCTACTTGGAGACTGCTTAACCCAAAAAAGCAACAGTACAATGGGTGCATATGTATGTGTGGCTTATTTAATGATGGCTTGATCCTGCTAAACACTTTCATGGGTCAACGAGCTGAAGACTGGGGGACCCTGGTTTAGGAGGATGGAGGAAGTGAACCCAACTATCCCAACACACAGAGCCATTATAATGGCTAAATCAGGTTCTACAAGTAGTCCTTGACTTACAATCATTCATTTAGTGACCAGAGTTACAACTGAACTGAAAAAAATGACTTATGACCAGTTTTCACAGTTGCAACCATTGCAGCCTCCCCATGATTACATAATCAACATTTGGCTGCTGGACAACTGGCATGTATTCCCACAAGCCAAGTGGGGGGGGGAAGCCAAATTCGTTTAACAACCATACAATTTCCTTAACAACTACAGTGATTTGCCTAACAGTAAAAAAAGTAAAATGTAGCAAAACACTGCCTTAACAATAGACACTTTGGCCTCAATTGTGGTCTCAATTATAATCTGTCCCTGGTAACCTGTAACTCAGATTAGTCTAGCCCAGGGGTAGGCAACCTGGGCTCTTTTATGGACTTCAACTCCCAGAATTCCTGAGCCAGCCATGCTGAGGGGAAAGGGAGAGGTTTCCAAGCTCAGCCATGCTGGCTCAGGAATTCTGGGAGTTGAACTCCATGAGTCATAAAAGAGCCAAGGTTGCCTACCCCTGGTCTAGCCTCATCTTCCCTCCGCCCCCCAAATACAGGTAGTCCTCGACTTATGACCATAATCGAGCCCCAAATTTCTGTTGTTAAGTGAGACATTTGTTGTGGGTTTTGCCTCATTTTATGACCTTTCTTGCCACAGTTGATAAATCGTCAATTACTGCAGTAGATAAATTAATAACCTGGTTGTTAAGTGAATTTGGCTTCCCCATTGACTTTGCTTGTTAGAAGATTGCAAAAGGGGATCATGTGACCCAGGACCCTGCAACAGTCATAAATATGAACCAGTTACCATGTTGTTTTAAATCTTGATCATGTGACCCTGGGAATGCTGCAAGGTCGTGTGAAAAACGATCCTAAGTCACTTTTTCCAGGGCCCTTTGTAACTTTGAACGGTCATTAAATGAAATGTTGTAAATTGAGGACTATCTGTATTAAAACCAGCAGGGCAGGGTGCAGGACAGTCCCCTCCGGGACTGAGACGCTTACTGGCCACCACGGCTTCCCTCTGATGGACGAGTCTCACTGGGTCTTACAGAGGATTTTATTTTTATTTTTGCAGAACTGAGTAGAATAACAAGAGTTGGAAGGAACCTTGGAGGTCATCTAGTCCAACCCCCTGCTCAGGCAGGAAACCCTACACCATTTCAGACAAATGGCTGTCCAGTCTCTTCTTCAAAACCTCCAGCGTTGGAACATTCACAACTTCTGGAGGCAGGTTGTTCCACTGACTAATTGTTCTGTCAGGAAGTTTCTCCTTAGTTCCAGGTTACTTCTCTCCTTGATTATTTTCTATCCGTTCCTTCTAGTCCTGCTCCATGTCTATGGAGATTCTCAGTCATCCAGGTCACAGTTATCCCAATGATGCTTTTTCACGAGGCAACCGGACTTTCTTGTTTTTCTTTCAAGACGTTTCGCTTCTCATCCAAGAAGCTTCTTCAGCTCCGAAGAAGCGTCTTGGATGAGAAGTCTTGGATGAGAAGCGAAACGTCTTCAAAGAAAAATATAGTCCAGTTGCCTCCTGAAAAAGCATCTTTGGGACTTCTTGTCCTGCCCTCAGGCGCTTTGGAGAACCACTTGACTCCCTCTTCTTTGGGGCAGCCCCTGAGATACTGGAAGGCTGCTATAATAATAATAATAATAGTAAAGTTGGAAGGGACCTTGGAGGTCATCTATCATGTCCCCCCTCGTCCTTCTCTTCATTAAACGAGACATACCCAATTCCAGCAACCGTTCCTTGTATGTTTTATCCTCCAGTCCCCTAATCATCTTTGTTGCTCTTCTCTGCACCCTTTCCAGAGTCTCAGCATCTGTTTCAATTTCTCCTTTCTCATGAGGGTCTCTCCTTTTTGAACGTCTGGAAGGAGGGGGGGTGCTTCTGCAGCCCTGCACGCCCCCAAAGAGCAGCCCAGCCGGCCTTCCCTGACCCCCCCACCCCACCCTGCCGCCGCCTGATGGGAAGAAGGGAAGTGGGGGGGGGTAGGTCTCGGCCGTCCGTGCCCCACCGCTGGGGAAGGGCCGCGCGCACGCTCGGGCGCCTCCGCCGGTACCCAGCATGCCTGACGAGGCGGAGGGAGGCGGAGGGAGCGGCCCGCATCTCCTCATCCCTCTGCCCGCCGCATCCCAGGGAGCGACATGGCCGGCCCGGCTCAGCAGCCGCCGCTTCCCGCCGAGGGCAGCCAGTAGCCGCCTCCCTCCTTTCCTCGCGTCCGCCCCGCCTTCTCCTCCTCCGCCGGCCCTGAGGCGGGAGAGCCGGCCTCGCCGCCGGCCTCGCGGGTGGGAGCGGCGGCGGCGGCGGCTCCTCCACCACCATGGCGGCCTCCGAGCTCTTCACGAAGGTGAGGCGCGCGCTCGCGCGGGAGGGAGGCGGCCAGGCCTGCCCGGGTGGCCGTTGGGGGGGTTGCCTGGCAACGCCGCGGGCGGTGGGGGGAGTGGGGGGGCGAGCGCCCCCAAAGGGGTGGCTGCTGACTACCCGTTTTTGTGGGGGGAGGACTGGGGGGGTCTCTTTCTGACGGAGGGGGGGCGAAGGAAAGGAGTCTTCCCCCCCATCCCCATCCCCATCCCCGTCCTTGTTTGCATTGTCTTCTAGGTTGGTGCTCAGTGAAAGACATGTGTCCTTAAATAATATATATTTTATATGTGTATATTTAAATAATATATATTTTATATTGTATATTTAAATAATATATATTTTATATATGTGTGTATATATGTGTGTGTGTGTGTGTGTGTGTACACATACATACATATTTGTTTTCTAACCAAAGACCTACCTGCATACATACATATATACATACATACATACATACATATATATTCTGGCTCTTTGGCTTTGTGTGATGCTCAGTTTTGGATTGCATCCCCCCCCCAATGAAATGCAAAAAGGACGACATGCCCAACCTGGGCCTACAGCATCTTTCACATCCTGCATCTTAACTGCCATGTCCTCCATCTATTTTGTCTCATCACTATCGATGTCTCTTTCCGCAAATGCAAAGGAAAGGGGTTGTAGCCTCCTCTTTTACAGCCCTTTTCAAAACTTGTTTTAGGACTTTCACACCTGCCTTTTGCTGTTTTGGCAGGCCCTGCCTCAAGATTCCTCCACCCCCCCCCCTTTTCCTGCCAGCAGCGGTTGCAAATTTTAAGTCACTGCCCTACAAAGACTAAGAAAGCATAATTTTTGTGCATCAGAAAAACTAGCTGTTTTTTTTTTACGATGGCAGCGAAGGCTCTAGGTAGGAAAAAATCTGCTTTATCAGTGCATGGATGGAAAGCTGTCTTTTGTTTATAATAAGGCTTCTTTGAACTATTGTCTATTCTGCTACATAAGCGTGAACCATATTTGGTTTAATTGTGTTTGTTTATTTACAGTACTTACGACACTGCCTGGTCCCCAAAGACTCTGGGTGGTGTAGAGTGCATCATTTAATGAAAAGAAAAAGCTGACATTAAATAACTACAATTTAATATAAAACCCCAAAATTAACTACCAAAGGAAAGCAAAGATAACACCCAAGACAGGCATGCATTGTCAGTCATGTGGGACCAAAACCGTGTTCAACCAGCTTTCATTTGCTTATGGAATTGCAGCAAGCTGGGAGCTCCGAATATTGCTGAAATGAAAGTACTGTCGACCATAAGGTGGGGGCTATTTTAGAGAAGGCCTACCTGGCAAACCTCACAAGGAAAGGAAATGTTCAGGTTCCCTGAATAGCAGGCTGGCTGGGGAGATATAATTTTGGCAAATCTTTGCCTAATTGCAATGTCATTGTAATATTTTCTTATTCTGTTCAGTAATAAGTTTGTTGTTCTTGGTGGTAAAAGTGGCAGTTTTACTTTCTTAAGACTGTACAGCTAGGGATAGGCTGTGTCTGGGAATGATAAGAGATTGATGTTACTGCTGATAAAAAAATATTTCACATCTACAAGGTTGTGACTTCCGTGCTATAAATTGCTTGGC